GAGTGCACCGGTGTGTTTCAAGGTGAACTCTTGTGCGGCGAAGCCACAAACTCCCGCGCCAGCCGGGCCGCCACGTGCCGGCGTGCGCCTCGAGCCTTTGCGCGCCCGCCGCCCAGGAGAGCGCCGAGGGGGCGGGTCCCCGGGCGGTTCCTCTCCCCGCCCCTTTTGGCTCAGGGGTTGGGCTCGATCAGCCCCCGGCACGTTGGAAGCGCAATGGCTGCGTTCAATTAGGCGCCCGGCAGGGAGGGAGGGCGGAGCGGCTGGAGAGGCGCGCTTAGCCCGGGCGCTTGAGAGCAGCGATCGCCGCGGCCCCAGCATCACCTCTCGGGCTAGAGCTGGCAAGTAGGGGACCCGTCCGCAGCCCTCTTCGCAGGGGTCGAGGCCGGAGGGTCGGGCAGCCGTAGTGGAAGAGCCGGTGCTCCCTTGCTCGAGTGTGTGTCAGTTTGTCGCGGCGGGGGCGGGAAAGCAAAGCAGATCTCCAGCTGGGTTAGTTTCGCAGTTGCTGGGGGAAGGGGGTTCTTTGCCACGAATGGCACGTGGGGGGCGTGCGGTGGTTGTTGCTTGAGACAGCAGCACCCAGCTGGTCCTGGAAGCAAGCGTGTGGGTCCTGCAGAGCTCTTCCGCAAGCGACTGACGCCAGGTGGGGACGTTAAAAGTACCCGAGTGACACTGAGGAGGGAGATGCAGGGGGAGGCGCTGCATCATCGGGTTCGGGAATGCACTTCAGATTTTACACCTACGTTCGTTGTTGCCCAGGGCTCAGCTGAAAGGAACCACTAGAAAAAAAACAGTAGAAACTTACCACCACCCCCCCCCCCCGAAAGACCGACGTTGCTTCAGGGAAACTCATATTGATCCAGTAACAACTCCCATTCCCTCCAAGCATTCAGCCGCAAAGATTTCTGTTGCGAGATACTTGCCAGCCCCTTTACCCTGGTATTTACTGTTTCCTATAAAAATGCATTTGATTTACACATTATTAGACAATAGTTTATTGGACAATACTTGGATATTTGCACAAGGCAGCATGTAGCCTAGACATTATTTACTGATCTCTTTGGGTTTATAAATTTAGTGGGGGGAGGTTTTTTTGGGTGCATAACTGGAATGTGTGTATTGGTGTGGAATGTCAGACTAATGTCAGGAAATGCTTAGAGTATTTGCAACAACTCTTTCTGATGTTGTAAATATTTAATAGTAATGCTGTATCAAGTCTGAAAGCATTAGTTTGATTTTGTTCGGAACTGTCCCTGTGAAAATGGTGCCTTTTTAGAAAGGGTACTTTGCTTTAAAACGATTGCATACATGCACATTTGATTTGCATTCATTTATTTCTGCCCTTTAGAGGCAAGAGATTTTGCCAGACGTGGATTCCAAATTGTCTCATGTAGTGATATCTCTTGATTTGTCCTGTGCCTTAAAAGATTGTTTTCCGACTCATAGATGACAAAATTATATTGAAATGTTAAAGACATCTTAACTGACTCATGCCGCTAGCCTTTGGAAGCCCGTAGAAGCTGCTGTCCCAGAAAAAGTCTTGCTTACCTGGCTGTCTGCATATGTTAGTCATTTGTTGAATTCTAATAGTCTAAATATTAAAACAAAAAATTGTTCTCATCTTCCCTGCCTGGTCACGTAATGTTAACTGACGTTTGCTATAAGCAGTTGGGCCAGTGACTTTTTACAACTCTTAGTTAACTCTCGGACACTAATATGCTTTAATTTGCCGGCAGGTTTCATCTTTCTCCAGCTCTGCATTTCTAGTGCCAGTTCATGTAGGAGACTTTGTCCAAGACCCGTCCTGTAGAGGGATACCAATATGCACTATGAAGTGGCAGATTATTCCAAGTCCGGCAGCAGCACAGCGTTCTTTGAAGTCCTCGACAAGTGCCAAGTCTTGCCTATGAAGGAGCTGCCTTCAGTGACTGGTTCTAACAGTGGTCGAGCATTCGTGAATTCCCAGATGTCCTTTAAAATTACTGTCAGCAATGGCAGCGAGAGCGTTGAAGCACAGCACAGCCCACCTGAGCTGCCGATGCCTCTGCTAGATCTCTTTCCTAAAAGACCCAGCATATTTGAAAGATTGCCTATTCTCCAGAGGACTCAGGAGACACGGTGCCCTAAAAGTGGCCGAGAATATTTCCAGCAGAAGGGTGAGTAATCAGATGCATGAACTGCCAAATATTTATCTGTGGTATCCTTCCCCCTTCTTCTTTCTCAGAATGCTATTTGTCTTCATTTATTTATTAGCTTGACAACTTTTCTTCACCTTCCACCGGTGCAAGATAATTTAAACCAGACTCACGTTGTAAATGGACTAGTTAGTCATCAGTAATCCTGAGTAATGGCAAGACCAGCTTTGGCAGAGTGTGCAGTGACAGTATTATCAAGGCGCACGGTGTCAGGGAGGAGAGCCACAGTATAATCCCCCCCCTTTTGTTCCACATATATAAGTTTCTGTGCGTTACTTCTGTCACGTCTTGTTTCTCCATTTATTCAGAGGGAACGTGGAACTGCTACCATCTTTTTCTGTGGAATTTTTGGTTCACTTTTAAGCTTTGTATCTGCAACAAAAGATATTTTACCTAGGTTTTACAGTTCATACTATATGCGCTTTTCCCGACAAATTTTAAAGTTTCTGTTTCAAAATGCTATCTTTGGCTTTAATACATTTAGGCTGCTCTTCACTACAAAGCACTGAAAATCTGCTTATACCTTGTAAATTAAGCTTATTTCCAGTCTCGAGATTTGGAAGCCAGACTGAGTGATGGAGTCTTACTTCGTAAAAATGGGGCATGATCTTTAGGAGGAGGAGTGATATATATTTCAAGGGGATATATGTAAATGTACATGTTCTGGTATGCCCCATAGGGCCCAGAAAGCCATAGGATGTAACAGAACGGTCTGCATTTACTGCTAGCTAATCTTTCGGGTGAAAATTAGGAGACTATCCTATGGATACAGTCTGCAGGGGGAAAGCTCCAGGACCAATGGGCATCTTACAGTTCCCCTGGAAGTGGTGGTGATTGTGGCACAATGCAGCTGTTTTCAGTTTTGTTCTGAACGTAAAGTACAGAAACTCCCATGAGGGCTGTTGTGTTTAAATGCTTTTATTATTAACGTCATTTAACTCACCTCTCATCTCAAAGAACGTTCAAGGTTGCCAGCACATTAACAATGCAGTCCTAAGCAGAGCTGCTGCACCTTTCAAAGCTCATTGACTTAGATTTGGGTTTAGAAGATTGCAAATCTATTTAGGACTGCACTATAAATCAGTAAATATGTGAAGCACCCAGCTTCTACCTCTCTCAATCACTGAATACTTGTATTAAAAAGGCCTTAGCTTTCTAAAAGATAAAATAGGTATAGCTAAGAGGTCTCGCATGTATTTGCTGGACCACACAGAATCTCACAAATTAACAGTTCTATGCGGAGTATCTGACTCCCAAGAAGTGATGGGGAATTTTCTTGATGTCATGCAATAAAACATCTGTGGAGGTGGTGATGTGACGTCTGTAGTCTTCATAAGGTGATCTAATTATTATTCTAATGTGGCAGTTGTGTTAGTCTTTAACAGAAAATAATAAGCCAATCCATTTGTATGGTTTTAGCCTCATTTTTTAAGTTAAAATGTGGTGGAACAGAAATTCAGTCAGAAATATGTCAAGGCCTACCTTAGTTTTACAGTTTCTTCTCAAACCATGAGACTTTCCCCATGCATAGTCCATCCTAGTGAAACTTTCTTTTTACATAAACATTCCAACGGCTGGTACCCCGGCCTTGCAGCTGTCATCTGATGAAGTAGCAATAGTCTACAAAAGCTCATACACTGTAATTTTTAAGTTAATTTAAAAGATGCAGATGGATTGTCCTAATGCTATAAGGCAATGTAGTTTTCATAAAAAGCCCTATGTCAGTGTCCTCTGTAATGCACTACTTATGATTGCTGTGGGGTGGGAAGCAAGGATGACTTTCAGCTAAAGTAGAGCTGACGTAATTGCAGCTACAGGGACCCTAGAAGCACCTTGCAGCATCACTCTGGCAGTGATTATAATGGCTTGCCTGGGTGAACATCTGGGTTTCTTTCTGGCTGGCAGGTGGTGGCTGAATGACTCAAGTGGTTCTAAGCCAACATTTTAAGAATTTTGGGAATATGTGATCTAGGTAGAAAAATTCCTCTTAGAATTTTCCATGGTGATACTAATTTTTCCCCCTATCAAATCTGAATGTAGACACTTCTGCGTTCTAGTCTGTGGGATCTCCTCTTGGGGGGTTCTTCCAAGATGCCAAAATCTTGGTCCTAGAGGAGGAGAAGCAGCCTTACCATGAAGGCATTTAAAATAGCCAGGCTTGAATATCTATTCTTGCTACCTGCAGAGGCATTCATTCATAGCCATCAAAGGCAGTTGGGAAGAATGAGATTTGAGGGAGATTCTAAACAGTTGACTTTCATTTTAAGACTTTCCTTGTATTTCACAATAACAAAATTTACGTCCCATGTGTATAATCTAGTGAAAGGGGCTTTTTCTATGAGAGAGTTGTTATGGGCTTGAGCAGAGAGCAAATAAATGTTCCAGCCATTTTTTAGTTGTTGCTATGGGTTAGTTTGCCAGACTTTTGGGTGAGGTGTCTTATTGGGGGAAAACCTTTTATCTTGATACAACCTTATTTTCTTACAAGTTGACCCCTGGATAGCGACTTTTCCTTATCTGCTATTCCTGTGCATAACTTTTTGATAATCACTTCTCGACTTTCCCAGTTACAGAAATGTAAACTTTTCTCTTGGTTCTGATGGTTAATGATAAGAGCATCTATATTGATATCGGCTCTGTAAGATAGGACTGATAGTGGCATGCCTAAGGTCAACTACTAAGTTCATGGCTAAGATCCAGGGTCCAAACTATGGCTTTCTGTGACTAAGATCATCTCAAAAAATAAGGAGCAAAAGATAATCTGTTTAGTAGGAGGAATGGATTAGTTAGTATATAGGAGGAAGCAGATTTGGGGAAGGTTTGGGAGTTGCAACCCTTTACTGGGGGGGGGGTTAAGAACGCTTAACTTTGGAGCTACATATTAATAATCAAAGCAGAATAATTTCAGAACAGGTCTTCTTCATTTCCTTGAAAGGAGCCATGATCTTAGTTATGGAAAAGCAGGCTCTGTGTTTACAAGGTACTATAGTTGTTAATGCCCAACTTTTAAGGTACCCTTGATTTTCAGATTCTCCAGAAAGGGACACAGGCCACAATGGTCAACTTGATCCTATATTTTGCTTTGTTAGCTGTGCTTATAATAGCACATGCCACCTGTGTGCGACTATAGAAGTCTTCCTCTTTTTGCTTAAAATGTACTTGGGAAAGATGGGAAGAGGTGGTGCAAGACCTGTGTAAGGCAGTGCCTCATTAAATAGAAGAAACAACTCTGTAGTTTTGAGGGCCATATCATGTAAAGGAGCCTTCTGTCAAAATGTGTCCTGTGATAGTGTTTTTCCATTGAACAGAAGAACATATCTAAATGTTATATTGTTTTGCTGCTCCAAGTGAGTATAATACTGTATTATTCCAGTATTTCTGTTTACATAAATTTCACACAATTTGAACTGTACAGATTTTTTCCAGCCATTCATGTGGCTCTACTGTATATCTGAACCTCAGAGGTGTGACATTATTAGTCAAGCGGACATTCTTTCCTAGCCTGGGTCATAATGACTGGCTCACACAGTCAATTTTTGTCTGTATGTGATTCTTCCAAGCATCTCTAGAGTTGCATTTGTAAGAAGAGTGCTTTGAGTGAGTGGGCATTCCACTGATGCTGTTCTAGCGTTCATAACTGATTTATCAGAGCATATCTAGAATCATTATCAAAGCAGGGGCTGTATCTGGAAAGAGCCTCCTTCAGATGAGATGCAATCTGTGTGAATGTATTTAAGCATTGTGTGGTGACCAGGTGAGTAGTTCCCAAGAGTAATTAAAATGTGCAAAAATTACCTGCAATGTATTTTTCATTTTGTTACACTGTATCTGTCTATATGTATAGGCGGATATAAAACAATTGCTGCCCAGGCAAAGATTATATGTAAGCTAAGCTATGGTAGAGCATTTCTCCTTGAAAATTGTGGGTTTTACAACTGATCTCCAGACTACATGATAGATCAGTATCCCTGGAGAAAATGGCTGCTTTGGAGGGTGGGCTTTATGGTATCATACCCTGCTCTCCCCAGGCTCCACCCTCAGAGCTCCAGGAATTTCCCAGTCTGGAGCTAGCAACCCTAAGGAGGGGAGATATTTTCTTGTGTCTCTTAATATAAAACTAGCTCTTTCAAATTAGCTAAAATTGTAAAGCATTCTTAAGAGTATGAGTTTTGTGATAAATTACTTGTATTATAACTGGAGTCTGGTTAACTATGAACCATCATTAAAAGTTTAATGATAGTATTGTGCCGGTTTTAAGTAAATATATATATATATATATAATCTCCAACACTGAGGTTGCCTGGTATAGGTCACTTATGTTAACCAAAACGTAGAGGCCACAGTCCAATACCAAACTGAGTGAAACTACATCCATTAGTTTCAGTGGCTGTAAGTGCTCTTAAATATATTGGATTGTGGCCTGAACACTTGTAGTAGGGCAAGAGAGCTATCACTGTGTGCAAAAAGCACGGAGTAGTCTTCATACAAACAATGTAATTGTACCTGGCGTAGAAAAGGAGGAATTCCTTTCTTTTCCTTTTTTTGTAAATAACAGCAGCAAAATAATCAATAGCAAATAAATTTCACTTTTGATATTTCAGAAAGGTTTTTTTCCAAAGCACTTAAGTCTTCCTTGATTCTGAAACACAAATTCCTTTTGGAATATGGGGTTTGTTTATCTATGGAAGGAAAATGCTCATCTGAGTCAGAAAAGAAAAAAATTCTTGTCTGTTTTGACTCTGGAAGAGTTCTGATGAAAATAATTCTCCTCTAATTATGACATGCCCCCAAATGGCAGAGCACGTTGTGAACAAAATCAGCCAGAAGCATTCCTTCCTGGTCAAAAGATGTTCATGCTTTACCCCTTCCCCACCAAGGCCCACATTAGCATCAATCTCAAGACTGAGTGATATGTGGGGAAAGGGGGAGCCTGGATCCAGGAATGGCTGCACTGCCTTTGG